TAAACAGTCATATAAAAAGTAAGAGATACCTCATTGTCTAGAAACACAACTTTTCAACAGTCAACTCGAAACAAACCCTAAAATCCTTTTCAAAGGCAAACAAGTTTTCTAGATATTTACTCAGCCAATTCCAACACTGATACTGATTTCAAATTTATTTGCATCAATTGACGGTGTTGTCCTCAATCACTTTGCAAATTCTGACCGCCACAAAGTTTCCCCTTCAAAGCAATGATCCAAGGTGGTAGTGATCCTAGTTCTGATCATATCTATTGATCTGACCCGCTTTTGTTTACTTAATTTATGTTGTTTATTCCCATTCTTTTGTATTAGAGAAATATTAAAGTCCTCATTTGTCTTGATGCATTAAAAAAAAACCACTATATTGAACCAATTCCCCATTCAATTCAGTCGTTTTGTTTTAAGTCAATTTCTTGGGTCTCAATTTACACTGCTAATAGTGGCACACTCACAATCTCATACAATCTCTCGCCTACTCCTGAGGCTAGTAGATTTGGGGTAAACAAATATATTTAAGTTTTAACAATAAGGACATAATTTTTCACACATTTCATTCAATCCCTCATTTAAGGTTACATTGGGACAATTTTTCACACATTTCATTCATTCCCTCATTTAAGGTTACATTCGAGAAAAGTGCACCTCATTGTAATGGTTCAGCGTGACTCTTGAATTTGAATAGGCTCAAGCACGACTCTTGAATTGACCTTCATTGAAAAAGAAAAAAGCATATATAATGTCTTGTTTTTTTTTTTTTGGGACCAACTTCAATGCTGGATATAAAATTCGGGTTTGGGTTCCTCACCTCCCCGATTGCAAAACTTTATCTCAATTCTCCCTAGCCTTTGGATTGATCTGATGGCTATAAAGTGAACCCCTTATAACTTACCACTCATAACTTTCCACTCATTATAGTCTGGCCTATGTACTCAGTCACGACTCACAAGTGAAGGACAATTGGTCCAATATAGGATAGAAAAACTAGCATTTAAATTAGAGAAGAAATATTTCCCAGCTAAACGTATTTCAAACAAAAAGAAACATTTGGTAACTTTTAAACTAATAGGATTTCCTGTATGCAATTCGCGCAATGAACAAATAGGATTTCTCTGCACAATATATGGCCTGTGATTATGACATAGCGCTTCTGGATTCTTCCCTGTACTGAAATTTGCAAATTCTACAATTTCATGCTCCCTTGTATTGTAATGGGGGTGAAAGTTCTAATGCATGATGTAAAAAGAAATTATTTCCTCCCGCCTCAACACCCTACAACCTTCAATAACAATTAATAATGCCATCAGATGCTTCAGATATTAGCATGACCTAAAGAATATTGCTAGTCAGGGTAAGATGCAATGTTTTTATTACAAAAATGAATATCATAAAATGGTGCATGACAGAAATTGTAGAACCAACATGGACCAGCTTTGCACTTGGAATGGTGAACCTGCCTATACCAATAATAAAAGCTTATGGTTCAACAAACTTACCAAAAACCACATAATTTACAACCAATGAACAAACACTTTCAGATTATTCACCAGTGGTGTCTGATTGGATTCTTTCAAACAAGCGATATATCAGAGTAGACCTAGACATCTGAGGTTCCCTCTCCAGGACAGCAATCACATCCTTGACAGATATACTACGAGCCACTCTTGTTTGAGGCGTGATAACTTGGTTCCTTCCACATTTTCTAAAAGTCCCTGCTCGAAAAAAAAAAATGCAATTAACAAAGGCCGCATAGCAAGAATGCAGAGGACGATTACTCCAGAAATGCACTACACAAAATAACTATAAAATTAAGACAGTACACTTATACACTAAAGCTGTTAGATGAGACTGGTTGCAAGTAAACATATGATTGTTATACCATAATATGATTGTGAATTTGAATAACATGATTATACAGCTCATACATGCCTAGAAGAGGATAATTTTCCAGAACAGGAAAAGAAGAAAGAAACATAAAAACATGTCATTAGCAAAGAGAAAGCAGAAGAAGCCTAAAGCTACAAGAAAACTCCGGGAGCACTCAAGTTTCCATAATGTCCTAACAGGTCTACCTGAATGAAAGGAAAAAAGTTTCAAGAACAAAGAGTGGAGAAGAAAGCTCCCCAACCTCCACATGGTTCAAATTTTAATGGACATAGAACTTGATGTGCTCTTGGATTTTGATTATTCGAATCTTCGGGGATAACATTTTAAATGTAACTCAATACATGCCAACTCAGCCACTTATATGAAATTAGAAGTTGTATTATGTTACTTGTGCAGATCCAAGGTGCTGTAAATCCCCTTGCTAATACAACTTCAAGAATTACCACTAAGAAGCTACAAAATTTATATATAAAGGTAATGACTATGGCCACTACAATCTTCAAAATCATGATCTGACCAACATTCAAGCTTAATGACACTTACCAGCTGCAGCAACTGGAGTTCCACCTCCCCTTTTCTCTGCTTCTTGATTGTCCTTCATAATTCTACCAGCTGTTGATGTAGGCTTGCGGTTTACATCTTTACCTGGCTGGGACCCAGATGCCACATCAATCCCACCTTCACGCTTTTGCCGGGCTTGCTCAGCCATAAGTTGCCATTTCGACAACATGTCATCCCCTCCAACAGCAGCTCGGGCAGCAACATTTGCTGCTGTCGTCCTCATTTTGTCATCTTCCTCTTTGTTTGGCTACATCAAGCCGAAAGTTACAGAAGAGTAATCTCTCTATTCATTCCAGAGGCAAACACAACGCTGAGCAGAATTCATACCTTAAATGATTTGGAGCGACCATCATCTTTGTCTTTATCACCATCAACTCCATTGTTAACCTCAGGCTGTATGTAGTCATATTAAATACTTGGAACTAATAAAATGCGCATACACTCAGAAAACAATACTCTATGCATGCGTGTGTTTAGCACACTAGTAGTTTAAACCATGTGTGCATTGTACAAATGACAATATAGAATGCTTAAAGATACTCACTTCATTAAGCCTTCGAAGCTTCTCTGCCTCGGCCTGCTTTTTTTCAAATTCTTCCCTAGCGTTCTGGTTGAGATTCATAACTTGTTGCCGAACATCAGAGGTGGTAAAAGTGTGGTGTCTTGGTTTCTCAGCATCAACCCGCTAGCATAAGGAGATTCACTCAAAGTCAGGAAAAATAATGCAAGAGAAATATTGTTCAGCAGAAAGGAAAAAATAGAAAAAAGAGAAACAAACCTGCTTTGACAGTCTGATCAAATTATTTATTAGCCCCCTCATTCTTTCCTCCACACACTGAAGATTCATTTGCCTCGGAATAAGATAACATGCAAGTTTATCACAATAGAAAAAGAACTAGAAGCTAGCACCTCACCAGTGACAAACACCGCTCCACATCATTGCTTATACTTTTCAAACCACATTTGACCACTGCTAAACCAACAAGCATAAATTCCAGATATCAAGCTCTGTTTGTTATTTCCTTTCATGACAGGAACAAATACGGAATTTTAACATTTCAATGAAAAAGAGATAAGCATAGAGTATTAACTAATTTCTGCCAATTTCTTCTGCAAGGGAGCCTTCTGCAAAATCAGCCTTTCTTCTTCTTCTTGCACAAACTTTCGAGATGCTTCTGAAGCTCGACTATCCTCCTTGGGTCCAGAAAACAGCTGCTCTTCCTCTTCCTATTTTTTTTTTTTTAAATTCAAAGGATTATAAGCATGTTTACTGAATGATTGTCAATGGTTCACTGAATTAGCTACTCCTCCATGCAGGATGATTCGAAAATGAAAAAATACCATACCCTAAGATTAACTCCACTAACAGCAGTGACATCATTCAGTTGTTCAATGCTTTGATCCAAAAAGTTCCCGGATAATTTTTGCTTCTTACTGAAAGAGGTCCAGAACACAATGTGTAAGGATTTAACAGAAAGTTTGTAAGAAGCAATTGAAATCATGCACAGAAAGCGATAACATCAATGCAAATCTATTTTACCTTGATGGCGGTGGTGAGGAACCAGGTACTTCAAGAGGCTTCTTTTGGCCAATAGAAGGCTTTTTTGGAGGTGCTCTATTACTAATCCCAGCAGGAGAAGTTCCAGAGGGTATTCGATGGCCTAACTGGCATAAACAGAGAAGCAGAAAATACATTAGTCCATAATAAAGTGAAAAGATATTCATTTTAAGTCTTCATTCATAAATCATCGTTGACAAAAATTAGATAAATAATAAATCATTAAAGCATCTAAATGTCAAGAAATAAATATAACACGGAATTTCGGAAAACACAATGAAATTACTATGATTTAATCAAATGGTTAAAATATTCTCCGATTTGGGTATTTTTTTAGAGATGATCTTGGAGGGTATACCTAAAAATTGACGGTTCGGATCATTAAACTGCAATGCATACTAGGCTCTACAAGGGTGCCCCTATAATTTTCTTTTTGAGAATAACATCTATATATACACATAGGCTTTCTATAGTAAGGATGCCCCTATTTTCCTTACAAGAAGGCCTCTTGTTTATCCATGCAAAAAATCAGCTAAACCGGAAATTGTTTAGCCATTTTATTATCCACATTTTCATTTCAGTTTTATTTAGCAAACTTGGTTTTTTTTTTGCACATTTCAGATGACTAAACAACTTCGGATCTAGACAAAAAAATTTGCGCACAGTTCTGATCATTGAAATACTTTGTTTGGTAGCCCTATGAAGGATGTGCGCACTGTTCTAACAATAAGGAGATCCTTAACATATAATAATTCTACGCATATATATGCTGGAAGTAATCTTTCCCTGTGTAAACTAATGTCTTTGTTTTCCTAATTTACATCATATATGTGACTAATTTCAGTTTATATATGGATCAAAATTCCCTTGAACCATTGGCCACTATATTTTCTTATATTTAAAAACTAAATTTTCGCACTTCAATTCACAAACTAAAACTAAGATATGAATGCACAGGTCTTTATCCAAAACAAATTTTGAAAGAAAATTCCTGCTAAGAGATGAGTTAACATTCTCTATAGAGTACTACTTTACACAAAACACATCAATAAAAGCAAGGAAGTCTGCATCACAACCTAACAAATGCATATGTAGCAGAGAAGCATAAATGAAAAGAATGGAAGTACCGAGACATTGGTATCAACTTGCATCATTATGGAAGGAGAAACAGAATTTGGGGGCGCTGTGCCTGTAGAAGATGAAGTCACCATGCCAGATGTTGCAAATCCCATTCTTGAAGATTGCTTCTCTAAAGACTCATCTGTTGAAATTCCAGGTAACGCACTCCCCTGCTCAAGTTGAGCAGCAGAAACAGAAGGCAGTCCCTGTTGATTAGATAATGGGGGCTTCTGCTGCTGCTCAGCAGTCTGATCAATTGGTTCCTGTTTTACATAAGACATTGATGACACAGGACCGGGATTCTGCTCCTTATTTGAGGACTGCCAAGGAACTGAATTCTGTTGTAAATTTGAATTATTTGTAAAGTGAGAAACAGATCCACCCTGCAGTCTACTAGCGTCGTTCAGAGAATTTTGCCTCTCCAATTTGGACACATTAGTGATGGTCGCACCCTGTGGTTCCCCACCTGACTGAGTTGAACCCATGCCTTGATGTTGTGGAATTTGCCTCAGTTGCGAATCATGAGGTTGCTGTTTGAGAGGCAATGTGGAGGTATTGATACTTGTCCCTGAATACGGGTGATAATTACCACCAGTACTTCCATACATGGCAAAGGATGATTGTGGATAGTGCAACTGTTGTTGCTGCTGCTGCTTATTAAGGATTTGTGGAGGGCCTGAGGAGCGCTCCCTTTCTTGATTGCCAGCTACCGCACTAGAAGAAGGCATTTGACTTACTTGCATTCCATGAGAGTCTGACTGACGTTCTGCCTCCCGCAGTTTTTTAGCACTGTTTTCAATGACTGAATGGCTTGAATCAGACTGCACTTGAACTGCTGAAGAGGGAATGTGTGATGGGTCTGTGGGAGAGTTGGCGCCTCTCTGATGAAGTGCAAATGAGCGAGGATCAGTGAACTGTGCAGAACCTACACTAATAGATGGCATCCTAGGAGGTTGTTGCTGCACTGAAGCCTGAGGTGGTAACTGGTGTTTAGGACCAGGCTGCAAGGTTTTTATATGCTGGTTTTTAGCTTAGTTCAGACATAAATACATTATTAATCCATTAAAATAATATTAAATTCATTATATACTTACCTGTGATTGTACTTTCATTACTGCCAATTTGAGCATCTGGTCCCCAACAACACTTCGAATGTGCCGGACAAAAGCATCCTTAGAAATTTCATTGTTCTAGAATAGCGGAAACAGTTAGAAATCATAAAAATTAACAAAACGCACAACACAATGATTATGTGTGTAGGACCCACCTTCAGTTTACCAAATAGAGTAGTAAGTTGCATGGCTCTGTCTTTATCAAGCTGGGGCAATAAGACAGGGAGTAACAGGCCAAATGGTACTTGTTTACTGCGATTCATTGGGTTGCTTGGCTGCTCCGGGATCATTGCCTGTTGACTACTCATCTTCTGAAGCTTTAAGTACTGAGATTCGCTTTCTGGAGTAGGTGTTATGTCCTGCTCATGTTTTGTGATTGGAATTTTCCCAGAAATCGGTATTCCAGCTGTTTCAGGTTTATGGAGGGGTTTCTGCTCTGCCTGCCCTTGTTGAAGATCACCTTGGGGTTGCTTCTGGGGCAAAGAAAATTGATTAAATTCATGTGAGGCATCCTTTTTTTGTTGTACATTCTCAGCAACGGACCCATATTGCTTTAGCTCCATTTCATATGAATGCATTTCTCGCTGTTGTGCAATTTTTTGGTCATGTTGCGTTTGACAAGCTGTGTTTTCATCCTGACTAGCAGTATGGAACTGCGGTAATGACTGACTAGAAGTGTTATTGCTTCCTTGAGACAAAACCGCTGCACTATTCAGTTTCACATGTTACATATAAACAACGAGTTCTGGGTATGAACATAAGCAAAACCCCAAGACAGTTAACAAGAGATTATGGGTGTAACAGTTAATCAAAATTTTCATACATTCTTGGTAAGTTTCTTGTTATGGTTGAAATGAACAATAGATCTTTAAACAGAGAACAATTCAATGAAAAATTCATTTCAAATCACTTCTGAAATTCTAGGATCAGAAAATGCCCAACAAAAAAAACCCTGAAGATGGTGTAGTAAGTAGAACTGGAATAGGATGAACAAAATAGAGATGAACTAATGACTAAGGTACATTAATATTAGGTCAACGGAAATATTGAAAGTTCTAAAACACAGAATATCAATACGATGAAACATCAAAAGAAAAATGACAGAAATTATGAGAAAAACATGGTAATTTTGAATAATGTATCAAATTATGCTTTTTAGTTAATTATCTACATTTTTACCCCAAAAAATTAGAGAAAATTGAAGTGCATGTATATGAGCCTTGTATGATTTAAGACAGATACAATGAACAATGACAAACCCTGCTATTCAAAATAAATTTATTTTGGTTTATAATGATGTAATACAAACTAACATTTGACATGCTATGTGCTGTTATCTCAATACATCATCAAATGTTTCTTGTGATTGTTATTTTTCCTCACTACATTAACTTTTTTGTGCAGTAGAAAGACACATTCGTAAGGCACTATTTTTCACCCAAAATAGCTTAACTTAGAGGGGTCTTGGATATTCGGGAGCAACTAAAGAATGAATTATATCAACTGATTAGTTTAATTCTCATTATGACAAGGTTTCGTTAAAAGGTTTTCTTTTTATTTGAAGTTTCATTGAAAAGAGCTATCTTGGACAATCCAAAGCAAATCTACATCTTCATTCGTTCACCTTTTGATTGGATCCTTTTAAGCACACCATTTAACGATAAGCAAAAGCCTCACGACCAACTTAATTCCAGCATGGGAATGGGATTTTTGTAAAAGAAGTAACGGGAACAATTACTATCCGTTCTAAATCATATTGAAAAACACATGCTCAACACTGTTAAGATAAAAATATATAAGGTCAACAGGACCCAAAAAAGGCCCCACATGTTCGTTCCATGAGATATAAGAATCATATCAAGCATCAAAATGACAAATTTAAGCTGTTCCATCCAAACCAATCATGCTGTCCGAAATTAAAACAAACACCAAAGCTAAATAATTCTTAAAATTAATAAATTTTAACAAAGTGTTCAAAGGGTAATCTGCAAAGAAGGTTAAGAGGGATACCGGAGTCTGAATCAGACGGCTGCGAAACAGACACATCTCCTTCTATGTCCCTGTTCAGAGCGGCCTGGAAGGCCTCCACATCGGCCCCTGAATGCATGGTTTCATCCTTTACACAAATTTTAAACAAAAGAAAAACTTCAGGATTTTAAATTGAAAGCTACATATTTAAATTCAAAGCTACAGATTGGCAGCGACAGAGAGAACCTCATCGTCTTCAAGGAGCTTCTTCATAATGGATGGGTCCATGATGAGATATATACACCACCACAAGCAAGTCTAGAAGGGCAATCTATATATTAAAAAAAAACAACAACAATTTTTTTTTATAAAAAAATTACCAGTTAGCACCTAATAAGATTAACAAAGAAAGATAAGTAATTGAGTAATTGAATTAAAATTAGAGTAAATATACCGCTTCAACAATTGACCAAATGCTGATATATATAGCACATCGAGCAATTTAAGTGTCGAAGAAGAAGAAGAATTGAGGAGGGAGGGAAGAAGAACAGGAGGGGGAGCGCTGCAAAACTCGGTTCACAGCTCACGGGTGAAGAACTGAACAGAATAGGGGAGACGAAGAAGAACTAATTAACCAAGGAAGAAGAACTCAGAAAAGAAGAAAAAGCTGATTCTAATTCTATATTTAATTGAGTAGGAGCACAGGAGGAGGAGGAGAAGAAGAAGACGACGTGGGAAGGGGAAGGGCTGTTAACAGTTTACACATACGGGTGGGCATTTAAGGTTGCGCCTGACGAGCTGGGCTTGGCTTATGAGATAGGCTATGGGCTATGGGCTGGGTTGGCTACCTTCGAGGTAAGCTATTGAGCCTTCTCCAACTCATTTGTGACTAAACCCAAATTTTTCCTCTTCAAAAAATAACTAGTTGGGTTTTGTCCAGATTCAAACCGTTTTTTCTCCCAACCTTCCGGACTCAAATTTTAAGTCCGCAACTTTATTAAATTGTTTAAGAATGGTTTAAGTCTAATTTTTTTTATGGATAACTTTTCTTCATTTAATCTTTTTAAATAACTTCATAATTTAATTTTTTGAACAATTTGACCTAAAAAATTTGAAATTCCACAAATAAAATTTTATTCCAAAAGAAAACACACAACATAATTCTAAAAAAAACACAATACTTCAAATTCACCATACATGAAACCCAATAGGAATAAACTAATAACTACTATCGTGGGGGGCTAGGATAATAGTCCCCTGAGTTATCTTCAAGATTAACGGTAGACTGTTGACCCTGTGCATGTTCTTGCCTAATTTCATCTTGTTTATCCCCCAAATATTTCTTTTTTCTTGGAGTAAATTTGGACACGTCCATAAACATTATTTTTTGTTCTTGGGCTTCCTTATCTTGTTGGTTCTATACACATAAGCATCAGCTTGATCTTGGACAAACTTGTCCAATATATTGAGCTTTCGTCTCCTATCCTCTTCGAAAGCAATATCTTGCTCAACCAATGATTCCAAGTACTTATCCCTTGTTTGTTGAGAAGGGTCAGCCATCTTCCTTTTTTTTTTTTTTTGCAGCCTTTTGTTTATCTGGCCCTTCAGGCCTTGGACTAGGCATGCCTTTAAAGCCTTGGCCGCAAATTTGTTCGGCCTCGGCCTCGGCCTATGCTTGAGGCCGAGATGATCATGCCTTAGCATGTCCTTCTTCTATTTTTAGGAAGGCGAAATACCCTGGCGAAACGCTGCGTTTCAGCTTCTGCAAACAAGTGCCAAGGCCGAGAGAAGGGGCTCCTTCGGCCAGCTCATGGCCGAGATTTATCAGGCACAAACAAAATGTAATTTAAAGCTTTAATAAGAATGGTTACTTACCACATCATGTAGATTTGAGCCACTTTGTGGGTTCGTATTGGCCTTAGTCAAGCATGCATTCCAAAGAGAACATTATTGGTTGATAGTCTTGAACCGAGAAGCAATGGCTTGGTATGTTTGTCACTCGGGTCCACTAATGCCCGAATCATTTTCCAGAAACTTTTGATATACACACTTCCAAGATGTGTCGCTTGCTTGATTGGTGACAATGGCCCCATCTTCACTAACAGAAACCCACCCTTTGCACAATGCCTCATCTTCGTCGAGCCTCCAATTCACACCTCTTTGAGATTTTGTGGACATCTTTAACAAGAATAAAATGAGATTGATGAGATTGACAAAGGAAAAATAAATTGAGAAATAGATAAAATATTTTTTTGTAGATTATTTGAGAAATGGATGGGTATTTATTGAGTTTGGAGTGAGTTTTGGGGTTGGATTTGATATAGATTAATTGAAAATATTATTTTTGACAAGACCCGACCCAAATTTCAATTTGGAATCTGTGTCGAACCCCGTGTGAGTCCAACACCTGGCATGTGTCGAGACGAATGACTAAACTGCCTTTAGAGTTTGACTTCTATCGAAAAATCGGCAGAGTCTCCCTTGAAAAACGGATGTTTACCAAATTATTTGCACTTGTAGAAAACACAATTCTATAATCCCAATCGTTCAGCATACAAGAATTTCGTCCATACGCAATTCAACAGTGACTCCAATGGAACCTAGGCCTGTACAACATAATCAAAACACTGTCATTCACGTTGTTATAAACGAGAATTAACGGTAATCCAAAATTTGCCCATTTACAACATATTTCAACTAAACCAATTCAAAGCATAATTCAACAGTTTATTTTTCTTCTACACCTAGGTTAACCTAGGTTGCCTACGTACCCTTACAGAGGGATCAAGCCACTCATAATTCTTTCCACAAGAAAACAAAGTTCAATCCATATATAAGCAAATGAATGAAGTAGTCCTTTTACACATTCCCAAAACTAAAGGCTTCAAAGTCTAATCAATCCGCTGAAACTCAAGCAAAAGATATTGATTTTAGAACAATCTTCCACCCATCACATATGTGCATACACTCAAGCATGTCAAGAAAAAAAAAAAGGCTTATAGGGTCACCACTCCCATACTCTTTCAACTCGACAAAGATTGCTAGTTTGTTAAGAAAACAGATAGGTCGACCTATCCTAAGCATGACTGCTCTCTTGAATTCTTAACGGCGTAACAACCTCCATGCCAATGCCGTCTTGTCTTCAAGCCCTTAGTTACTGCTCAAGAGTTGATCGCGGAACGCGGTTAATCTCTTGAACTTTCACGGTGTTAAATACACCATGATATCTACATTCAACTATGCCCCAGAGATATGGTCAAAACACGCCCACCCAGTGTGCTTCTTTCACGACATGCTCTGGTCCCGAGTGTCTTCCAGTGGTCTTCTAGCATTAGAAGAAGTCATGTCTGTCCCATACATCTGCAATGTCCTCCTATATATATATATATATAATAGCTCATTATTGAAGAAAATAGTTGTGAATTGTATAAAATCTTTAAAACTTAGAAAACTCTTAATCCTTATCTCATAAATCGGAAAACATGTATTAAAACCTTCACCAATAAGTACCAAGATAAAATCATCAATTTTAGTTAAAAATATCTCAAAACTCAAATACTCTCCACCTAGGTGTACCCCCATTCATAACCCGCAACTTCCAAGTACCATGTCTATTACATCCTTGCAGAACTCGGGGGACATGTAGTCAGCCCGAGAACGCATAACCTCGCAGAACTCGAGGGACACGTAGTCAGCCCGAGATCGCATATCCTCACAGAACTCGGGACACACATAGTCAGCCCTATATCACATATCCTGGCAGAACTCGGGGGACATGTAGTCAAACATGTATTAAAACCTTCACCAATAAGTACCAAGATAAAATCATCAATTTTAGTTAAAAATATCTCAAAACTCAAATACTCTCCACCTAGGTGTACCCCCATTCATAACCCGCAACTTCCAAGTACCATGTCTATTACATCCTTGCAGAACTCGGGGGACATGTAGTCAGCCCGAGAACGCATAACCTCGCAGAACTCGGGGGACACGTATTTAGCCCGAGATCGCATATCCTCGCAGAACTCGAGGGACACGTAGTCAGCCCGAGATCGCATATCCTCACAGAACTCGGGAGACACATAGTCAGCCCTATATCACATATCCTGGCAGAACTCGGGGGACATGTAGTCAACCCGAGATCGCATATCCTCGCACCACACGATTTAGGCAGCCCCGAGACTCGTGGGGCATTATCATAAATGACTAAATTGTTCCAAAGGCAACAGGGGGTACTCCTGTGGTGAGTTTGAAAACCATATTCTGAAACTTATCATAAAATTCCCCTTATTCCACAAATCCATTTTCCAAATCTTTTCGCAACTTTCCAAAAATTCGTTCTTAAATGGGTTCCAAAATCACTTCTCAAGCATAAAGTTCATAAAGACCCAAAAATAATCACAAACCTCACTATCAAATTAAAGTCCGTTAATTCCATAACATTATCTTGTAATCCCATCAAGACCCCAAAATAATTCAAATAATAATCAAAACTTGTTTACATATAATTTCCATAAAATATTATATTCTACAATTAAAACAATAAACTTTCATAAACAACCCAATATCACCCAGTCATATACTTAAATAATAATAATAATAATAAATAATGTAAAATATTAACCCTTAGAGATCTCAAATCCTTATTAATCCAAATTAAATCAATCTTTAATCAAAACTCACTTATGCAAAAAATTCCATATTAAAAGAACGAAGTACACTTAAAAACAAACGTCCACTCAATCCCTAATAAAAATAGCCGAGACCCACGACTCACCTTCACAACCCACCGATCAAGTATTCCATGCTCATCTATTCCATAACTTCAATTATCAAAATAATATCCAAGAATCCCATAAGATACTATAAAATAATCTCATAATTCCAACATAATCAAAATAACTCAAATAACAGTCGAGACTTGTTTAAAAGGTCGTTCTAATACTTCTCGAAAGACTCACGGTCAACCGAAGGGTTAACCTGCCCAAATTTTGTCAACCGGGCCCGTGGGGCCCACGACCTCCGATTTCTGATCCGACAGTTCCTACGGGTTCAACAAGGTTTACTATATATGTCTTTCAAGTTCGGTCCGAAACGAACAGTCGGATCACTCGCGATCACACGATTGGACGGTTATTGTTTAACGCAAACTTTAAGTCATTGAATCGGAGCATCCGAGACTCCGATTCACAGTCCATGAATTCCTACACGATCCTAGAGGTGCCTATATCAACCTATACGAAAATGGAGTCGATCCAACGGTCCGAACATATCGAACCCGGATAACACCCAATATGCGATATCCGATCGACAATCAAACGATAATCAAATTCAAATCCGAGCATAACGTCGTGCTCGGGACGACATGGGGATCATTTTAGGACCCAATGGCCTGCCACAAAGTGGCCCAAGTGCCGCCACACGCGCTGTCAACACGTGGGTGCACAGAGTAAATTCTGGTGATCGGAAAATCTCCGAACCGCCAGTCAAGACCTATACCAAAAGATCAAGCATATCAAGAGGAGTAAGTTTCATACCTGAGTCGAAGATTAATTTGGCCATTAAAGCCCTCGAACGAATGGTTTTCTCTTTGAAAAACCTAGAAATTTCTAAGTTTGGATTCAATTATTTCGGGATGGAATCACGTCGGGTGGCTAGAGTTGGCCGGAAAAACCCTCGAAAGTTCCGATTTTGAAACAGCCCCTTTTTGGCTTCATTTTGGCTCGAATTTTTGGTTTAATTGCTTGGAGCCAAGGCTAAAGGAGAGAGAG